GGTTGAATCACCCCCAATTTGGATGTAAATAAGCCCTTATTTGGGGATCATTCAAATTGAGGGTGATTCAACATTTGCAGGGGTTCAGTGAACGTTAGACTTTTTTCTGTGAAGCCTGAAAGTTTCAACTTAAGACTTTCAAAGTCTCAACTTGAGACTTTCGAAAGTCTCAACTTGGGACTTTCATAAGTTTTAATTTGAGATCGTAAGTCTCAACTTGAAATTTGTTTTTTTTTTGGGTGAAGATTGTCAGTTTTATTTTTTGAGGATGAACACAACTGAATTCATTTTATTGCGTTATTCACCCATGAAAATTTGGTTTTGACGTATACAGTGACATTTTCAGCTCTTGAATGGGTAAGGAGAGGAAAATCACGAACCTCACAAGAAGATAGGTCAAAGATTTAATCATAACATTCCATTTCGTCGCCATATCATTATTTTTATGGAAGATATTCTCTGTTAATAGCATTTTCCTGGCGATTTTTTGAGATTTCCGGAATTGGAACAATGGAAAACCATTTTTTAAAAACTTCACGTCAAGACATTAATATGATTCCAAATTTGTGGATGTATTTTCAAAATCGATTAAGTATTTCCGGAGATATTCGATGTTAATAATTTGCAGGAAAATCAACATTGCATAAAATGAAAGTAGAGTGTTGAAAAAATATTTTAGAAATAATCACGAGAAGATTTTCCTATTTTTTAAACGTGACCTTTTTTGTTTTTTCCATTGAGCCCCTCATATGTACGCTACAGCTCGACAAAGTTTTATTGCATATCAGTGAATTAGTCGTCCATGAGTACAAAAAATGAAAAACAAAAAAAATATCACGATGAGATTTCATTGAGTTCGAAGTGTGAGATTTTTACTTTTTTCAATAGCGTTATTCTAGGGATAGATATTCCGTGTTGAGTGTTTTCACAAATTTGTCTTGAATATTTACTAACCTATTTACTAATACTATATCATATTTTAACAAATATACCAACGATCACGTTCAAATTTTTCCATACCCTACTCATAGAATTTGATTTTTTTACAGATATCACAATTTCCTGATGAGATATGCAATGTCAAAAAATTTTTGTGATTGAAATCTGCAAACTTCAATGTTATTAAATATCTCTTTGAAATCCATTCAGTTTTTTTTAAGAGCAAAAGATTCATTATTTGTAAAACCAATAAAATCTTTCGCATACTTGATAGTGCCGAAGGACCGAAGTACAAAGGCAAGTGGTATCTAGTATTTTTGATAAGTTACTAGATATCAAATATTCTGCTACTTAGTACTTGAACTGATTTAAGTACTAAGTGCTTGTGTACTCAAGTATTTAAGATTTAATAAGCCTTAATATGCCCATCACTGTTTGAAAAATTGCAATTTTTTCCTTATCGCTTTGAAATTTACTCATTCGTAATACCTTTGATAAATTTGTATGTAATTTTCCTTATTTCTCTTTTAATAAATTACTCTTAGTTAGCGTCTCTACTTTTCGTATTTAAAATAAGTCGACGAAGATCATTTTACTCTGGGCAAATACGTAGACCGGTCAAAAAATGATTTGAATGCGGTAGCTGACAGTAACGGAACGTAGGGGAGAGTAGGGTAAAATGGACACTTTAGACTTTTTAAAAAAAAATCATAACTCAGAAACAAATCTATGAGTTGCGCTCAAGTTAGGCTCATCACAAAGGGCAAGAATTGTTCTTTGTATTGAAAAAAAAAAAAAAATTAAATTTCATCAACATTTCAACCCGTCACTAATATTTTAAAAAAAGTCAAGTGTCCATTTTACCCCAACCTCCCCCAAGTATGGTACATTTAATTAAATATATAACACAAGAATCTTGACTAAAACAAAATAAAAACCAGAAGCGAATGGGACAAAAATATTGTGATACTCAATCTTTTAGTCAGCTATCTAATCCTACAGTAGAATTCCTTTACTTACCTTTTCTTCATAATTCGATAAACATTCCTTGGAACACACGATCTCGTCCTCATAAGAGTATCCCCTTGACATCCTCAATTTCTTCAATATCTCATCATTCCAATAATTCTCATAATCGACCTAAAACCAGTCAACCCCCTCCCCCCAAATATAACAATGATGATAAATGAATATAAAGGAATGGGCGAAAAACGATAATAAAATTTTCAGTACAAATTTAATGAACAATTCAATCGAATTTCTATGAAATCGGTTCATACGCGTACTGGAATAATGTGTTGTCCATAAAACTCTCAAAGAGAATCAAAGAGTCTAACCTCAAAGTGCTCTACTCCAGTGATGTCATATAGCTGCTGAAGTGTTAGAAACTCCGGAGGCATTTTGTGATGCTCCAACCTTTGATCTTCTCCACTATCATCCATATACCAGGCTCGTACCATTTTGAATTTCGACAGCTTGAAACCAGTTGCTTGAAAATCTTGCGAATCGTTCAAAAACCTCGGGTCCTACTAGTTGGTTATGTGAATTTCTAACGACTTTAATTCGTGAGTTTTCTCCATGAAATTGCGTCTCATTTCTCAGATAATATCCCTAGATATATCATAACAAATTATGTAACCTTCCGGCTTCTATTTTCCCGTAGAAACTTGACAAGCAGAATAATGATGGACCAAATGGATGAGTTTTACCAAAAAATTCAGACATTTTTAATAAAAAAGGATCCTGAAGTAGGAAAATTAAAATTCTTATCATCAAGGACGACAGAGGAGAGCGCTAAACTCATCGAGGAGATCATCACTGCTATGGGCTCAATATTTGAAGCTTGCAACATCCCAATCAAAGAGGGAATATCAACGTGTAACATGAAATGCATTGAGGCACTAAAGTACTTTATTCTAAATACGAATTTCAATGCCCAGGAATTTCTCCAGGACGACCTCCTTCACGGTCACTTGGTTGACATGTGCCCTCCGTTGTCTCCGTACCTCTTCATCGAGCTCATTTGGTTTCTAGAATACGACCAAGTCCTGGCCGAGTCGATTCTGTATTTACCACTTGATCTTTGCATTGAAATTTTGGAGATTCTACGACGATGTGTTCACATGTTGGACTTCCCGAGGGGCTTCAATTTCTTAGTAACCCTCGCCAAAAACAGTTACATAAAAGTATTAACTGTTAGAGATGCTGGAACTCAATCGCAGGATTTTGAAGTAAATCTCGAGAGTCTAATAATTAACTACCAAGAAATTTTAACTTTATTGACAGATAAGAAGTGCACAAGGTTGTTGGAGGTCTCCGAAATAAAAAGGAGCGAACGTTATGGATATATCCTTCGAGAGATTTTACAATTAACAACAAATTGCTTAGAGTTCAGTCAGAGAGAATTTAGAGTTGAATCTGAAAGAGAAAAATTATATAAAATCACTTTTGGTCGAGGAACTCTTCAAAGATGTGACGCAGAAACTGCAATGAGGCACATAAAATCTCTAAACCTCGAATTGTTCAATGTTCTCTTGAAGAAAGTTAAGAAGATTAACTGTAACATTTATCTAGACTGGGCATCGTTGGAAGCTGATGGGAACCCTTGTGCGTCCCTGCAACAGATGATAGGCATTGAATGCTTCGATTTAATACAATTCATAAAAATGAACAATATTGAAGCTCAGGATCATCTCGTAGAATGTCTCCAGCAGTTATCAGTAAAACCAGAATCCCTCAACTACTGTACAACGATGAACTTGATGGAATTATGTGAAGGAGTGGAAAAGGGAAATCATTATTGCCTTAAACAACTATTAATTCAGCGCAATAATTGGGACCACTCTGTCTTCGATGCAATCCGCAAAAAAGTCGATCTATTCGATAGAGATGATTTTGTCAATCTTCTGGAGTATTTAACTGAATTAATGGTGAAAGATGGATACGAAGAGCACAAGCAGATGGTTTACAATATAGTAACTCGAGTCTTTTTCTTTCAAAAACTCAAGGATTTGTACGAAATTACATTGGAATACATTCTGAAGCACAATGCAGAAAATATTTTGGAATCTATTCATACTGAAAAAATGTTCGTGGCATTCATACTGAAGAATCCTGACTTCAAAACTCCAAATAAGTTGAAGATAGTTCTTTTTTTTTTACTCAAAAATTCTCAAAAGTTTCTGATGATTTTGATAAGAATTTGCATTGGATCAGAGGAGTACAGTAACATTATGATAAATCCAGATGACTTAATTCTCCTCTCTCCAATAATGACCATGCTTAATGAAACTGGAAAGTTAGTTCTATCATGTTTGTTGAAAATTTCTCTCGATAAAGATGAATTCACACCCATTAAATTTTCTAATTTTATCGACTCAATGCTTAAGCACAATATCTTTACACCTGATGAATTGATCCACACGGTTTACATACCCTCGATTGAAACCCCATATTTACCAGTCTCAACAGTTAGATCAACACTCAATAATATCCGTCAAATTCTTGTAACATTGAACAATGTTAATCTTGAATTGTTGCTCAAGTCATTGGCGAAAAAAATGTCACAATTACGCAATGACAGAACTATTTCCAAGTATCTCAAGAATGAAATACTAACCGTGACCATAAGAATAGTACAGACAGTATTACGTACACGTGATAATTGGTTTGAAGATGCTGACAACAGAGATTGGATTATTGAGCTTGAAGCATTGCTTCAGCCTGTAGATAAATTTTATTTTTCCAAGCTCTTTAATTCATCAGAGTACTTCGATATTACTGAGATAATTGATGATTATTTAAGGCAGACAAATACAATTATACAAAAAGCAATACCCGCGATCGAAGCAGCCTCAATTTACAAATTAAATTTAGAAAAAGAAATAATGAAACACCTAATTCTTACATGTACAGAGTCTGAGTACGTGAGAATAGCATCTGAAATAACAGTAATTCACTGGGGTTATTTCAAATACGCTGATGAGGTCGAGGGTTTCGATAATATTATGCAAATAACGATTGAAGCTTGCGAATATTGTTTAAGAGCCTCGGAAACAAAACCCGATTACTTTGGCTGCCTCATCAAATCGTTATCAAAATTCGTAAAGGGTTTAATTCATTTAGAATTGGAAATTGATAAGCAATTACTCTTCAGTTCATTCCTCAATAATTTCAGAAAATTGAATGTGAGTGTGAAAGGTACGGAGTATGAGCATTTCTATAATGAGACAGTAATGAGGATGAATAATCGGCCAAGTAATGAGTCAGCCATTGAGTCATTAGCGGAAGTTATTAGCTTTGTAAGCAGCTTTGGTGATAAGTGCTTGAAGCCACTAATTGGAAAAAAATGTGAATCTAAAGGAGTTTTAAAAGAAGAAATTTGTCAGAATTTCATTTCCATGTGTCTTATTGCATCGTTCGATAATCAATCCTGCATTATAAGGAGAGTAAAGGATTTATTTCTCTCTACTCAATGATGTTACCTATTAAGCTGTCAGAAATTTCTGATTTCTTTTGTACGCTTCGGATAATTAATAAATGGACGTAAATCTCGATTTTTTTTTCTTTTTTTTTAATGTTTATTTTACATCGTTTTGACCTGGTTAGGGTATACTGCGATGATGATCAAGACTAAATGATTAGATCGCACCATTCTACCCGGCCGGGATTTGAACTCGGAACCTTTCGCATGTGAGGCAACGAACTTACCCACTGTGCCAAGCCACCGGGTAATCAAAATTTCTTGGGAATGAATATGTGAAAGTATAGATAACAGCAGATTCCCGGGATATAAAGTAGGAAACTGTATATCTTTTCCTTTGGACGCTTATTTGACACATAATTCTATCAATTTTTAGTTTCCTCGTATGAGGCATTGATGGAAATAGAAAAAAAACCGCAATGAAAACGATAATAATAATAATAATATCACTAGTCATACCAACAACTTCACGATTAATTATTTGGTCCAATATCTATCCTTGCTTTCATGTCAAATGAATCTATTTCAAAGTGAAACGAAATTGACTCAGCGGTTTGTCAATTATTGAAATGAAATATTTAACCGAAATTTGTTATTTTTAAAACAACTGGGACATTGCAGAATGAATTTTGCCTGAGATTCAATCAAATGTAAGTCATATAAAGGGGCTTTAATCATATCAAAAAAATCAAACTACATCGTTCATGCCGAATGTTTCACCATTTTCAAAAAAATTTAGAGGTCATTCACGTGGGATATCTGAGAGTTACTATTTTTTATTTTGGGGGTTTTCGCAATATTTTCAGTCAGTCACGAAGTTGATAGTAAAACTAATCATTCTATCACGCTAATATCACGTGAAGAGACAGAAAAGTAGTACAATGCACATTGTTTTTGGTCTTCGATTCGCATATTGACTATTGAAGTGCTGCCTAAGCCCATTTAGTTATTATTTTTCTCCCATTAATTCAATTGCACTTGATTCAATATCATCCAATATCACGATTATTTATCCACTTTACTTTTTTGTTGTCAAATTGAAAAGGCCAAATGCATTAGTAATCAATTTGTTTTTTTTTTCTGGTCGATTCTTTGTTCAATGGTCATTATTTACCTTTAAGAGACATTGCCAAATAGTACATTAGAGTACAAGGGCACAAATTTCGTTTTCAACGAATGTGTAGTTGACAGGCCGAGCCGAAGGCGAGGTCTGTACACACATTCGTTGAAAACGAAATTTATTACCGAGTGCTCTATAATATTTTATGTCAAGTCGTGCAGAAGTCGAGTTTTGAGCAGGCTGCGCGAAGCCTGTGGCATAAAATAGTATAGACCACTCGGGCATAAACTTCGTTTTCAACGAATGTGAATACAGACCTCGCCCTCGGCTCGGCCTGTAAACTTCACATTCGTCGAAAACGAAATTTGTGCCCTTGTACTCTAATGTACTATACAATGATTAAGAATTGAAAATTAATAAGAGGTGGAAAACAATTGAAATTTCAGTTTCGCAAACAACGAAAAAAATTTGCATCATTCGTCATTTGTTAGTCATCCTTGTAATACTGAGACATAATTTTGCTCCATTTGAAAACGATGTGAGTTCTAGTTATTTCTCTCGCAGGGACTAGATTGTGCAATAAATTGGTATAACTATTGAGTTTAACAAATAAGCAATTAAATTTTCATAAATGCACATTTTTTTGTTCGCTAGTCCTTTGTCTCCACATAAAAGACCATTGTTATTGTTAATGTTTTATTGTATATAACTTGATACTATAATATTTACAGTTTTGTCCACATCGTAAAAAATATACCATATACAGGTAAGGCCGATATACAATCTAAATCGTGGTGTTGTTACTTTTTATGTTGCTCTTTTATCGTTTTCATTTTTTAACATTATATTATCACTCAAATTCTTTTTATTCTACGATTTACGAAGACCATCCGTAAACCCGAGGTGCAAACCAAAATACATTCTTCTACACATACAATTGAACATTTTAATCATAATTTTCATTATTTTCTGCTTATTCATTGTTTCATTTTCTTAATTGTCGAGTTTCATTCCAATATTGATAAGTAGGAAAATTGTCCCCGATCGATGATATGCTAACACAGGCAAGTGGCGCAGCCGAAGTTTTATTTATATCATGTTCAAAGAGTTGTTTTTCATCAAACAGCATAGTTCACCGGCGCACTTAGAAAAATATTATTTGAAACAGAATTTTATGTGTTCTTTTCTCTTCTTGATTTAGCAAGCTGCGTGAATTGGTGATTAATGATACAAAGTCTCACGGAGAAAGGTTTACATTGTTCATAAAAATGTTTACTCTTCCACTCGTCAGAAAGTGCGATGAGTATGTAACTCCTTGAACAAACATGCCTGTGCGCAATATTTCTATTTTTATTTCGTGATTCACCAAATATCACGTTTAGTAAAGCGAAAAAGACAATCCGACCATTTACGTTGAAAAGATATAATTTGTGACTTTCCTACTGTTTCAGGAATTGATGCTATCAAAATTTTTTTTTACTAAACTTTTCAATATGCTTCTGACAAATCGAATATGTCCCTTTCAGTTATTTTTTCTTTTTCATTTTTGGTTACATCTACAGGATCACAGCGATATCTAGGTATATAGAGTGAAAAAACTAGTCATCACAAAAAAGAAGAGAAGAAGCAATGCACATTTCAAATGTTTCTTTGCCCAATTACTAAGTCTCTTACTTTTTTCTATACATAAAAAAATGTTTTACGTTTTTTTCGTTTCACCTTTTTTTTTATAAAATTGTTATTAATTGATATTGAGAATAGTATCTATTTAAAATGAACTCGATCGTTATACTTAAATTGCATTTTTATATCCTCCAGGTTGTCCTCCATTTGCATATCTAAAATTAAAATGGTAAACACATTCAGTTCGATAAAAGGAATTACAAACTGAATTGTTGTCTTTTTCACAGAAATTAAACTGAATTCATTGAAATTTCAATGTGTAATCTAAGGGAAGAGAGAAATTCACGAATTGCATGACGCCCCGTATGTTGCAAAGTAAAGAATAACTGTAGTATTAAAAAATATAGAAAAAATTCACTTGATTGTAGTTGAAGGGATCCCTGTGTAATCAATAATTCGGTCAATTCTGTGTTTGAAAAAGTAGGCGAGGAATAATAGCTTTGGATTATTAACAATTTGATGAGTTCATTCGAATGCTCTCGTACTTTTTTCTCATTTGACTATAAATGGAATTAAAAAAAAATTGATTTGCACTTACATGATGAATTCCCTACCATTAATTTTTTGCAAATTAAGCAAAAATAGACAGAACACGAATCAGTAAAAAATTGCCTTAAAGTAAGTAGTGCAACAGTAGCAAATGAATTATCAAGATGCAGTTGCAAAGATATTTTTTATACAAAAGAGATATATGTATACATAAAACATGAGTTAAGGATATGATTGAGTAAAAATAATGTAGAAAGTGTCTGAAATTCTGAATTAATCCTGTTGGTAATAATAAGGTTTAAACTCTTACAATCTACTATGTTTTTAATATACAAAAGAGCCATTGACTTTTATACTCTCCTACACAACAAAAAGAAATTAAAAAATGAAAATAAAATAATTTTCTCTAATGGACAATTTCTTCCAATGGCGAGAAAACGTATTTATCTCCAAAGGATCGGACGAATTTCAGTTTAAGTTGGATCAACCGTTTAATCCTTCACATTAACTGCCCAAAACCACTACAGTGGTCCCTTGAAATTCTGCCAATGTCGCTTTTTTCAATGATTTCCGTCTGTTCGATATTTTTGTTAGTTAGCACCTTGTACAGAAAATTATTAATTGCCAAGAAAGGACGAATGCGCAATGTGCTAAATATAAAGAAAATCTCAATAATTGATCATAAAAATTGTCCATAAATTAAATAATTTCGGTTTTTTCGTTTCTACATTTTCGCATCAACAATTAACTTAATAACACCAAGAGGAATGGGGTCATCACACAATCGTCTCACACATGCCTTATCATCGGTTTTTAGTTTTATAAATCAATTGCGCATTGGTCCTTAAAATTTGTCACCTTCAAAATACCATCAATACCCACCCATTTTCCACTCTTATGTATACCAGTCGTACTTAATTAATATATTACAGTGATAATTACATATAATACTATCCATGTTATATTAAAATATTCGGCCATGAGGCTAGTTGACAGCCACAATCTTTAAACTTTTCCATACTCCATTAATTTCGTATTCTTCTTTCTACAAAAATAAAAAAGAAACCAAGGAAAAAACAAAACGTTACGAACAGATAAATGAGTCAATCGTGTACGTTTGATAATTAAAGTAACAAATTTATGATTTTTTTTAAATAAAAAAAGGCATTTTCTTAAATTTTATTTTGCAATGAGATAGAATATGAAAAATTCTGAATGGAAATATTGACAAAGAGTATATTCAGCTTGATCAAACAATTTCACTTCTGCGTTATGGAATTCTATGGTACTTTTGTGCCACATGCAGTTTAAAGCACTCAGTAAATTTTCAGTCTCAATCGGCTCCAATGTACCAGGCTTTTGATTAAGTATTAGAGTACACTGCAACAACAGTAACTTTTCTTCTCCTTTTCAGGACTGAAATTCATCTCTCGAACAATTTCAGCAAAAACTTCATTCACGTTGGTTCGATTTTTGGCAGATGCCTCGACAAATGGACAGCCCCATAGCTGGGCAAGTGCATTACCCTCGGCAGTGTCCACCTCTCTCTGATGCTCGAGATCTAATTTATTAGCAACCAGTAGCACTGGTACTCTCTCAGTGCCTTTGACGCGTGTGATAAGTTCCTTCATGGCCTTAATATCCTGAAATGTTTGATGGTTCGTAAGGCTGTATACAACAACGAAGCCTTGGCCATTCTTAATGTACAAATCCCTCATACTGGCAAACTGTTCAGTACCAGCAGTGTCGAGAATCTCCAGGACACACGGTGAATTATCCACCTCAATTTCCTTACGATAAAAATCCTCAATTGTTGGATCGTACTTCTCCATGAAACATCCAGACACAAATTGCACTGTCAGTGCACTCTTGCCCACCCCACCCGAGCCCAATACCACTACTTTAAATTCACGCATTGTTAATGAATTTGATTTTCAACACTTGGGCCTTTCAAATTGAAACAATTAGCCTCGACAATCGAATGTTGGGTTATCGTTTGCCTTTGCGATGATGATAATCACGGGCGGGGGCTAAAAAGTCCTGGTAACACAATCTGACACACTGGACAAAGGCATCGATGAGCAACTACAAAGATTGCAATTCCCAAGACCTAACTCCATGGAAGATTTCATCAAGTTCAATTTATTTATCCTAGTGGTGACTCACATTTGATTAATAATCCGACACAGGACATTTCGATTGATATTTTAAACATCACTAGTTGTGGAAAATACACCAACTTTAAATTAGTTTTTTCACACGTAGTTAATTAATGAATCTCACTTATTTTTTGTAATGAAAATTGCACATTTCTCATCTGCTCATTTCCTCTCAAGTCCACGACGTGATGACTGCTGACGCCATCTTATAATATTTCATACACTTCTTTCGGTAATTTATCGCGTTGAGTTTTTGAGCTGATATTTTCTTGAGTTATATTGATGCGTTCACATATAATATCAAAATTATAATAGATTAATTTTGATGATTCAATCTCGAGGAACTATTTCTGGAATTTTAATGATCAACGACCTTGACAGGCTCGTCCACGGATGTTGAAAGTGTGAATTGTCTCTGGTACTTTTTCAGACGACGAGGAGAGGGGTTGAAAAAAACGGAGAGGACGGTCTAATATATATGAGACGAACGCACGGTCGTAAATACAGGTCTGGAACATAGACATAATACTTACAGAGATTATAGGGGAGATCAGCAGGGCCAAAGTAAAGTGTTCAACAGCAAAATTCGTAGCGGTGGCGCATGGACTACGATGGAGCGTACGGAACTGTTGGTATGGTAGGGCCCGAGTATAAATTGGTCGATTACCGGAAGTGGGTTCTCAATACAGTAGCTCCTCGCATTTTGTAATAATTGTCAGGAATGTAAAATCGAACATATTATAATCAATAGTATAATGAATGCACAATCTAATGATCTAAACGTCTTTTCCTTTTTCTCGACATATTTATCATTGACACGTAGGTAAAAAAATTCATAGAAAATCCCAGCGCTGTCGCTGGAAAACTCTATAGTTTTCCAGTGATTCTATTGAATAATTGTGCAGATTTTGTTTTTTTTTTTACTATAGTAATGTTCGATTATATATATTTATTCCCCCCCTGAGTGAGAACGGAATATGTATCGCGCTCGCTCCCACTCATTGTCGTCTCCGTCGCGCTGTCACGTGCCCGTCCTCCACCAAAATTAACGAGTCGAGTGAGAAAGAAAATGGAGAAGAAGGAGAGAGAAAACATTCCAACTCGTTTGAAACGGTTGGAACGTTTTCGTTGTTCTCCAGCGATCTACACATAATGGGATTAATTCAATAATAGATTAATGAATAAGATTTTTCGCAGATTATTGCGAGATTTAGATGAATGGTTTGCCTCCTTCAGTGACCATCAAAAATTGTCTCCAATCGACAATATCTTCCGATGAAATGAAACGATGTGAATGAATCAAGTATCAATTTGAATCTTTAAAAAATTAATCCAGAGTGAAAAAAAATCCCGGCATTCCACTCTGAGATTTCTCTCAGAGAAATTGTCTGTGTTTACCGAGAAAAAAAA